AACGAAGTGCCTAAGTTGATGATCAATCAGAAACGATTACAGCTCCCTATAATTAGATGGGTAAGAGAAGGGGTGTATGCAAATTGTGGGTAATTAATTTGTTTAAATAATTTCTATGGATTCAAATTGTTTGTATTTTATTTTTATTATTTAATTAATTTAGAGGTATGCAAATTATTTTAATTTTATTCAAATAATTTTTCCGAGGCGGATGATTTTTTTATGATTTTTATTAAATAAGTTAATGCCAAAACTTCTTAAAAGAGGAAAATAGTTATAGTTTTATTATTATATTAAAATTTAATTAAGTGCGATCAGTAAAAATATAATTTAAACAATGTTGGCTATCTGATATTTTGGAATAAATAGATTTTTTTTTGTACTTCCTTAATAAAAAATATTGTGTTATTTATTAATATTTTTATTATTACTAGTTGTAAAAGAAAAGAAAAGATAAAAAATTGTTTATAAGATTTTAAAAAATTAGTTATATTATTAATCAATTTATTTTTAATAGATATAAAAAATCGAAAAAAAACAAAATAATTTATTATTATTCTTTGGAAGTATTTTTTTAGGATTGTTTTGGGTATCGGAAAGAAACACAATAAAAGGGTGAAAGGAAAATACAAAGGAATTAATCCTTGCGAAGCTTAGTCCTAACCCTAAGAGGAACTTATATACGAATAAAATAAGCTATAATAGATATAATGAATAAATATGTTTATCATTAACTTATTTAAATAGTCATAAAAATAGCATTCGCCTCAAACTAAATTATGAATAATTTTGCATACCTCTAAATTATTTAAATAAAATAAATGCAAACAGTTTACACCCATAGAAATTATTTAAACAAATTAATATCCCAAATTTGCATCCTTGCATGCAACACTTGTTATCATCGTATTATTTTATTTTAAATTTAACAGAAACCATAAGACGTCAAAATTGTGATCATAATAGTCCGGATTTGCAATTTAAAGCCTTGCCCGGGATTTTTTCAAATTTTTTTTTGGCCAAGCCCGGATTTTAATTTTTGGATTTTTTTTGGCCCGGTCCAAATTTGTTAAAATTTTCTTAATTTGAATAATTTTTGCTGTACTTTTCATATTGACGGGAATGAATAAGCAGTAAATGAAGATTAAACGTTTCATACATGATCCAACTCAACTATTTAATGGCTATAATTAAAAAATGTTTTTATAAATCGACCCGGTCCTGCCCAGTTTTTTTAATTTCAAATTTTTTTAGGCCTAGCCTAGATTTATAAAATCATACCATTTTTATAAGTCTTACTTTTTTTTTTTAAAGTTACATTTAAATTTATACTATCTTATAGTCTAAAAATATATTAATATCAAATAAATGAGAGTACTTCATCTTAAAGTTATTTTCAATTTAAATAGTAAAAAAAATTAAACTTTGCCCTAAATAAATGCTGTTGTTTTATGAAGTTCGTAATTGTCAATTCTTTCTATTCACGAATTAGGATGTTAATAATTCTAATCACTTTTTTTATACCAATTTTCTAATTATTTGACGTGTTTAATGTTAAAGTAAGAAGGATGATCGTTTTTTATATCTGTATATACATCAGTCAGTATTAGGAAACGTTACTTATGAAAGCAGCATGCTATTGCTATTTTTCAAAAAATAGTGTATTAAGAGCTACAATTTTCAAAATTTAGCTTCGCTACTTTTTATGCTACTGTATAAAATATAATGCTATTTTATTTTATATAACCATTGGCTACCCATTTTCTCAATTGTAATCCTCGTTTCAGAAAGTCTTAATATTATAGATTATCTAAACTAGATTGCATTTAAAAAAACATATTTTAAATTTGTAAAAGTTTAACTCTCACATTTTATTAAAATTTTTATAAAGATTTTTTACTTTTTATAAAGATTTCTCCCTTTTTCTCGTTTATTAAAAATTTTTTTAATTTTCTCTCCTTCGTAATGAAATATTTCGTTTTTTTAAAATAATTTTTGGGTAAACCAATCAATATGTATGTAAAAAAGAGGCAAGCAAGTTTAAGCATTTTTTTCTCTTCAAATTTACAAATCAAGAATTTTTTTGATAATTTTTATTGAGTTAGCAATATTTCCTAAGAATTTTTTAAAAAAATCTTACAAGTATCAGTATTCAAGAGGGAATTCATTTTGGTGATCTAATTACATTTATTAATTAGGGAAAATGTGCCATGAATGGCCATGTTTTTGCTTTTTTAAAATAAGGTATTAAGATTTGGGTTCAACCAAACAAATTTTATATCAATGTGTAGCCTAATTATTAATCTTTAAAATAAAATTTGAATCAAAGCTATATCTATAGTTTATGAGCTAGATGAGGTTATGTGAAAGGTATTTTTCTGGCCGGTCAATTTGTGTTTATATTTAAGAATTTTATTATAAATATGCATTATGAAAAGACCTATGCTAATATTTCTACATTTTTTAGTTATATAAAAAATTAATTATACACTAATTTAATTAGTATTAATATCTCAATTTATCATCATCTATTTAATGATAATATTATAAATTAATATCTTAATTATCTTTTTGCTAAACATTCTTATAGTGCGCACAAATTGAGCTTTGCAACGCTCCGTTTTAAAAGCTAATAATGCATTTTAGATGGTATTATGCAAATTGGATTTTTTTAGGGCAAGCGTTAAAAAAAAAGCAAAGTGGTTTGATTTTTCAATGCTTTTTTAATTAAAATTTGAAAATGGATACAAAATTGTAAGTATAATTTATTTCATATATTAATTGATATTATATCATTTAGAATATATTAATTGATATTTATATAATTTTAGAATATATTAATTTATAATTTAGATAATTTTAGAATATATTAATAGATATTATTTAAGAATAAGTTTTAGATGGTTTATCAACTATTAGTTTAAGGTAAATATATATATGAACAGTGATAAATTATATTTTTATTATCATGGAGATGGAGTTTCCACAGCATGATACAACTGTATCATGCTTAAAGAAGTAGTTGAATGTGAATATATAAAATTTATGAAGCCAATGATAAAGGACAGAAAGACTACTGACAATTTTTGTTCTAAATAAACTACACCAAAGGCTACTGGTTCAAAAATAAATGCGCTCGTGGGTGAAAGACTTTTGGCTCTTTTGGAAAGGGTGCCATCTGAAAGCCGGTAAAATATATATTTTTATCTATAAATTTAATATTATTTTAGATTGTATCTACAATCAATGCCAGAAGGCTTGGAAAGTATGAGCCATTCAAATAAATACTTTATCAAATGCGAAGTATCAAGATTGTATCATATTTTGATGGAGCAATCAAATGATCAAAATACTACATTATCACCAACAAATTCAACAGAAACAATTTTAAATCAAACATCATTATATTTATTATAAATTTTATCTTAGTGTGTTTATTTTTGTAAATATGTTTATTTATATATATAATAAAGTAATATTCCATATTATAGTGTCCATTTTTGAAAAATATATATAAATAAGCAAACTATTCAAAATTTATTTAGCATATATTAAAATATATAGATTATTATAAATATATTAAAGTAGGATAAACAAATAAATATTAAAATAATCAAATTATGAAAGAATGAGATTGAGTTAACAGTTATGAAAATCCAATAAATAAAAATATCAGGGGTAACATGATTGGAAGAAGTTACAATTACGATCTAATAGTGTATATATGTATATTAAAAATTTTGTCACAATAATTAATTATTGAGATCAAAATTTGAAGCCTTTCTAGGATTTTAATTCATAGACATATAATTTAGTCAATATTATCATTAGAAATTAAATTAAATATTATGTATATAAAAAGAATAATAGTGTTTGATTTTTTAAGATATTGACTATTTATAAATAATATTTAATTTTGACATCACCTTATGTGATTATAATAAAAAAATTCAAAGACCAATTAAATAAAATTGGACAAAGCTTCTGGCTTAAAACTTCCATACAGATGGTATGATTATATTATTTTAATAAGATATTTAATACTCTTACATGTTCTAGTGTACATTTTTATAGAATTGAAAATGTAATTAAATTATTTTATTTGCATTATTTGTAAATTATAATGTTCTCCTCATCCCTGTATAATTAAAATAAGCAATTAGTTGTTTATCTTGTAAACTAAAGAAATCCATATTGTTTAATAAAAATTAAATCACGTTTAAATTTTAAAGGAAAAAACGTACTGCTTTCAATTTAAAGCGTTGCGTTAAAAAACGTACTGCAAACGCAAACGCTCAATTTGTGCGCCTATTAAGCTTGTTCCTCACCAAATGTTGTTTTGGACGAGCTTTCCATTTTAATATGAAAATGTGAATGTGCAAATTGTGGCCAATCAAAATATGGCCAGAATAATCACCTCTCTTTTATTATTAAGCGCCTTTATATGTCTACTAAATAAAACTTTTAAAGTCTAATTTTATATGTGAATAATGCTAAATGCTTAAGGATGATATTTATAAAAAATATCAGTATCAGTAATTTTTTCACCAAACAAAAAAATGTGTATTGTGATTTTTCCATAAAGAAGTTAAAAACAGTTTATTAAAAAAATTTTTTTTATTGGATTGCTCTATTCAATAAATGAACTTAGGTAGTACATATCATAAATATACACATTTTGACTAATTTTGAGAGAAATCGGTCCAATAGATAAAAAGTTAAAGTGGTGGCCAGTCTTCAAACATTGCCATTTATGGCACATTTCCCCTACAAGTTGCATTTCCTTTATCATGTCATAAACTGCTACCACAATCTCTACTATAATAAAATAAAATGATTAGGCAAAATTATTTTCCAACTCCATACAACAACACGAGTGTTAGATACCAAAAATTCAATCACGGATTTTATAATCATTGTAAAAGGTTTTCATTCATTCAATATATAATTTTATATCCATGTTTTTTAGAAAATATTAGAACATTTTAATTTAAAGAAACCTGGGCTTTTATGGCTAAATGAAATGCTCCTTTTTTGAAGGGCAAAAAATTTGGTGAATTGTTTCTGGTGCCTTCCGGAAATACCCAGATTTTTATCTTGACACAAGAAAATATTAAGCCGTTATAATATCTATTAAATCGTTAATTATTATAAAATATTTCAGAAAGAATAATTATTATAATAAATGATTTATATAAAAATTCTTAAATAACTTTATTTATTTACATGATTCTTTTTCATGTTTCTAGCCAGTTCATCAATAAGCATTTTGGATTTGTCTGTTTGAGTTCTGTTAATAAACATAATTCTCGTTTTATTGGAAAAAAATTCTATAGGGATCATAAATCGGAGCTCCTTCTTAGCTATAATAGTGCAATTATCGGGCCAAATTTTAGCCAATGCTTTTAATTACAATTATTTATATTATAAAAATGGTATATTATATAATATTAGATTGAGAGAAAGTCTAACACGAAATATTTGACAGGAATTGTTATGTTTGAAGTAGGCCCACGCGAACAGGGAGATAATATAACTAGGGTGACGGCCCCGGGCTGAAAATAATAAGAAAATTTTAGGGACTGTTAAATTTTGATTTCTGTATATTTAAAAAATGAAATTTAAAATAAGTAAAAATATTCATAAATTATATTTAATATTATCTCATTCAGCCATTTATCACAAATTATTTATATCTTCTCTATAATATATTGCATAAATATTGCCTAATTCATATTCTAAGCTAATTTATTATTTTATGACTTTAAAAAGATTCCATTTTAGCACCGGGCCGCCAAAAGTTTGGTAAGACCCTAGAAACTTCTGTCTTTTTACCATATATAAATTATTTTTAATACACATGCATTTTTAAATATTTGCAAATAAAAAATAATTTAATTTAATGTAATTTGAGGTAAAAAGCTTAATACCAATTTTATTCATTTCTAAAAAGGAGAGAGAGAAAAAAAATCGTTTTTACCTAATAGGTCCAAAGAACTTTGGTGATTGCTGATTATAACGCAGGAATTGTGGATCAAAAGGTTTTCTTTGTCTATAATTTCGATATCAATCCCAAAGATTTGGCATATTTTATTGTGAGTTTTGAATATAAAACTATAAATTTGTGAATATTTTTACATAATACAAAATATGACAATAAATTATTTGAAAAAAATTATGATTAAACAATCATGATGCAATATCAGGGACAGACTGGCCAGTAAGCCTAGTGCAAAAAAGTCTCATGAAGTCTCAAGATTTAAAAAAATTGGGGCCTTAGTTAAAATGATTTGAAACTGTCTAAATTAAAATAGAAAAAGTTTAAAATTCTTTGAATATATTTAAATTTATAACTGAATAATATCACATAAAGCCAATTATAATTCATTTCATGATTTCTCATTATAGCAGTAAATCCAAAGAAGGACCAAATTTTTTCCAATTAGATTAAAAAGCGATAGTTCCACATAGTGTAAATGGCTCTTTTTGAGTCTATTTTTAAAAATGGCTAACTTAATATTAACTAGGAAAATATTGCCTAATCGTGATTTCGCTAATAGATTCCCAAGCCTTCGTGCCATCTATGAGAAAAATCTTCAGACTTGCGTATTATTTTTCTGAATAAATATATGCTGTTGTTGAGATACTTATTCAACAGTTTATATTCATGTGGGTAGTATATTTTCTTAAATCCTTCAATGGTAATTCTATTAATCAAAAACTTATATATGTGAAAGCAAAACAAGTTTCCAGTAATATTTGATAAAGAAACATGTCTTTAAAATTATAAAATTATTGGGATGATGCCCGATTATAGAGATTTCGGCCCTAATTAAACTTCACCAAATTAAGATTTAGATAAAATCATAGTAATCTAATACCTAGAAATGATACATCATTTATCAAATTATGATGATATTCAATGATCATTTGAATAAGGCCATTTTATGAAAACAAATTTGTTATGAAAAATTTTAAATTCTTAGGCAAATTATTATCCGGAGGAAGAAGACCCTTGGTTAGTGTATTATCAAAGACGGCCATTAAGATCAATTATGTTTGATAGAATTTTAAACACGTTTAGATTAGAAAGTGACTTGGCACCAGGAGATTCATATAGGTAGACAGGGCTCGGAATATAAGTGTTAATGATCAAGCTACAATGCTTGCTATACATTTACAATGTACAAATTATGTAAATATTTTTTGCACTTGTTAAAGTAAAGAATTCTTCGAATAGGGAATTTTTCCATTTTTAAGTGGACTTGAATTTCAAAACATTGACAGCAAATAAAGAATATTATTTTAAAATCGTTTGACATAGCAGCAAATATGCGAAATAAATTTGATATGTTTTGAATGCTCCATCTAATAATCTTAAGGTGAAGAATCTTTTTGAGTCAGAGTAGCTACTTTTTAAAATGAATATTATAAAAGGATGGAGATATGGATGAAGACAATTATGAATTACCCGATAATAGGTTCACATTAAAAGTCAAAATATTGGTAAAACGAGATGGTAGTACGTGAGTAAGAAAGCAGTTTATGGATGTTCAATGCCAAATATGGACTAATACCAACCACTATATGTGCCTTAAATTACATAATATGGGAATAAATATTTTGAATCAAAAACGATTTAGAATCGGTAGCTTTATTAAATAAAATTTGCAAATTAAAAAATTCCTTAACGGCTTAATCCTTTTGAAACAAATGGACAACTCGATACATAGAAATACGAAATTTGACATTCTAACAGTCTGGAAAGTAGATGAAGATGATGAATCTCTTTGAGTTTTCTTTCAACAAACATATGAAAGGCACAAATATGGAAATTATCAAAAAATATATAGCCGATTTAATGATGTCCGAATATATTTTCAGGGAAGCAGAAATACCGTTTTGTAGAGTTTTTTGTAAATAAAATACCGAATTGAGGTATTCCATGATATTATTGATTCAGATAATAGAGCTTTACTGAAATTTCAAAAAATTAACATTTTACAACAAACAGATGCCCATTATTTTTATCATAGACTGTTTGATGAAATTAACAGAAAAGATATAACTAATAATGCTTTGGATATTATATCTTCTTTGGTGAAATAATGAGAAATAAGGAACTAATTTGATTTTCAAGAATTTATGGAAATTGAAATATTGGAAATAGGAAAAATACAGAATACCTGATAATCCATAGTTTGATGACATCAGAAACTGAGAGTAAAATATATGGTTAAATGAAAATCGCTAATCATATGCAAAACAAGTGTAATTTAATATGTTTACATGAGATGTTATGTCAATGTCAATATAATATTGATTTTTATATAGTATAAGAAATATCATCTTACATTTATTTCTATAAGTGAGTTGTTAATTAACTATCAGTAATTACTAAAAATAATTATGAATATACTGCTAGCTAATATATGCCAGGAATGTATAAGCTTTTTCGTGAATGAACAAATTGAATTAAGTGAATTTGTATTATTATTTATATAGAGGAGACCGGGGTAAAACGATCTGTATTCATTTTTACCATAATATTTTAAAATATTAACAAAACAGAACAAAATATATTTATAATTAGTCAAATCCCCTTCTACAAAATAAAAAAAGTGTATCTCTCTACTTATAATAAATTAGGAGCTGTGATTAATTATGTGGAATGTGCCATTTTCGCCATTTTATCTTATGCCCAGGGTAAAGTGGCTAAGCTTCAGGGCATAATTATATAGTTTAATTGGCAAATTTTGAATGTGCCCATTATGGGTTCATCGTACATTTCATTTATTCTTCCTCTTTGCGACTATTCATAAAATTTTTATTCCAAATAACACAAACTATAAATGTTACTATTTACACAAAAATATATTTTTTATATGGTGTAGACGTTAACATTTAAAAGTTGTCTCTTTACAGCTTAACAGACGAAACATTTTAACCATTTTACCCATAGCAATTTTACCCCAAGGTGATACATACTGTGTAAATCGTTATTGCGTAAGTTATATTAAGTCATAAATTATTTAATAGCTATAAATTTAATGAACAAGTATACAAAATTTAAAATCTTAGCCTAAAGAGAAAAAAAACCAGAGGGGGATTTTTATAATTTTTGGGTAAAAAACAGTTTTTCGGCAAAATATGTCAAACTGGAAACATAGGCAAGAAATTAAATATAACATCTTCATATCAAACTTAAAGTCTTTATGCTCAAGATTTAAGAAGTTATATGCGTTAACATTTTACCCCGTTAATTGCTTTACCCTGGTATCCCCTAAAGGCTTACTTACCATGAATACGGAAATGATTAAGTTAAGATGAGCGGTGTATATTCAATTAATATATTTTTATAATATATTTAACATAATGTATTGGTATTTTTCAAAGACCTACAGAGGTACCAATTACAAGGCCTATATATATATTTTTTTAATTTTTCCGGCAACCCGGCCCGGATTTTTTTAAAATATATTATATTTATTTTCACTTTTTATATCTAATAATAGCGATTTAAAATTTTGATTTTAAAATATACGACCCAGCACGGGTATTTTTTTTTTAAAAAGGGACCGGCTCAAGTATATTTAAAAAATTTAAATACTATCCGGCAAGTGTATCGAGGCCAGGCCGGGAGCCTGCAGGTTTCTGGTATTTTTTTTAAAAAAAATATGCAAATGAAGAATTTTACAGGCTTAATAAATATATAAGTATAAACTCAGAATTTATTTTTGGGACCCCTGGAACTTTTGTCACGAGGGGAGGGTCTTTTTTCTCCCAGTTTTCTTTGATATTTCACTGGTTTTCTAATATTTAAATTAGAAAAAGAGTTATTTTTTTATAATTAATTTGAATGTTTATTAGTAAAATTCTATCAGATTAGCATTTACAGAAATATTATGAATTATAATTTATTGTGGAGAGGTATTTTTAATTTATAGAAACCAAAAAAACATACAACGTTGAAAATAGGTAAATTATATAACCAAATTTAATTTACAAGAATTTGAAAAAAACTTAACTATATAAATTAAAACTAGCTGGGATTGAATAATTCCATTCTCGTAGGTTAAAAAAGGAACATTATTATTTCCTATTTGTAATTTCCATTAGACATATTATCCATAAGGAAAATATATTTCACCAATATTTTATTGCAAATCTTAATTATAAAAATTTGTTTAAATACGGGTAGAGCACTGCAAAGTAATTTCTCAGGAGCCCTTATTTATAAAAATTTTAATGTCTAAGCCCGAGCCAAGCCTGGCCACAAATTTTTTGTTCCAGCCCGACCCGATTATAATTATCTTAGAAGATTAGGTTATATAATATTATCTATATTTTGTGGATAATATATTTGTCATAAGCAGTTAATTTCAAAAAATCACATATAATAAAACCTAGACCACTGCAGAGGCAGCGACTTATAAAAATGTCCATGTGGGCTGAAAATTTTTCAAAGATATTTTAAAAGCTTTAAAAAAACCTAATCAAATTTTAATTAATTGTAAAAAAATAGCAAAAAAGATTGTAATTTTCAGAGTTGTTAAAGGATCTAGATATAAAAATTTGGTATCTGTATCTAGATAGATTTTTGATTAAATAATCTGTATCTAGATATTATTTTAGACGTTGTATCTGTATCTAGATCCATTTAAAAAGTATCTTTTAACAACTCTGGTAATTTTAATTTTGTATAGAAAATCTTATTTTTTTTATTTCCATCAAAATTTTTATAATATAAATGACTAAATAATATTTAATAATTTTTTTGTAAATGATATTAATATAAAAAATGTTAATATTTTTTAAGGTAAAGTGTATTTTTTAATTTCATTTTTATTTGTAAAAATATTCATTGTGATCAAGTTCCTCTGCCTCTTCTTTATTAACATTAATTGCGATATTGCATCCATTGCCATTTCATCTTAGAATATAAATACTATCTAAGATAAATAAGTCCTGAAACCGATCATTCTGTGTCCTAATTTTTGATTATCTTATATTATTTGTTGAATTTTATAACTTTTGTTAATTGTTTAAAATTTAAAATATTTGTTTGAATGCCAATCAACAAAGATACGCGGATTGGTAAAAAATAAAAACAA